TGTGATTATTTTCAGATTCATGTTATAGTCGACCGAAGTATTCCATTTTCATACCTCATCTAATACAGATAAAATATTGGTATGGGCAAAATTAAAAGAAAATTTATAAATTATATTAAATTTATTGGAAATAATAAATTTCATATTCATCTCAGTTTTCTGGTTCAGACCTAGCACTGACACAAATATTAGGATTTGCAAAGTTGGAACAAAATCGGTTTAACTTTTCTCCTTCTGTGCCAAAAAATATATATTTATTAAAATTTCGACCTTTTTGGGGGGGGGAGGTACCAGAAGGAGTGGACCGAAATTGTCCGTGTTCGCACCAGACCTTGGGTTAATATAAATATTGGGATGTGTGAAATTTGAAGACAACCGGACTCTTAAATCACATTTTATGAGAGTTGTAATTATTCAAAATTTTGACCATTTGTGGGGGAGGTACCAGAAGGCCGATATTGCCCATCTCCGAAATCGATCTAAGTTTGAAAAAAAAAAAAATATTACAATGTACTAAGTTTGGACCAAATCGGACACTCCCTTCGAGACTTATTGTGCGCACCAGACAGACGGGCGGACAGACGGACGGACGGACATCGCTAGATCGAGACCTAGGGTCTAAAAACGTTATTTCGACTAGGCACGTTTTGACCATATCAAATGATATCTACCCTCTGTAGCCATATGTTTGAGGGTATAAAAACAGCTCAGCAACATCAGCAGAAATGGTTCGAAAATTAAAGAAGCTACTTGGTCGAACCCGCGTCGCAGTGGCCGAAAAATGGCTCGTGAGCTGAACATATCGCAATATTCCATTCGACAGATATTTAAAAATGAGCTCGGGTAAAGCCATTGAAATAACAAAAAGTGCAAGAACTTACACCGCAACAGAAAGAAAATAGACTCAAAAGAGCTAAAGAGTTGCTTCGCTTCAGTGAAAGTGGTGAACTGCCGAATTTGGTTTTCAGTTTGTAAACAAACGAAATGATCGTGTTTACTTGACAAAGAGGTCAGCTGAAAATGTGCACCTGCGGTTGGCGACCATAGCTCAAGCGCCGGCCATGGTGTGGTGTGGACCACCATAACAACCGATGGTCGCTCTCTGCTCCTATTAATCTACCATAGCAGCAGAATAAATGCCGAATATTATCGCGAACATATTCTGGAGGGTGTGTTAAAGACTTGGGCACACAAACATTTTGGCCGCAGTCCTTGGACATTCCAACAGGACTCAGCACAATCGCACGCGCCACCCAAGAATAGTTACAAAATGAGGTCCCTCGCTTCATTTCCTGCGCACAATGGCCAACAAAATCTCCGCATACCAATCTGTTGGACTATTGCGTCTGGAGTATTTTGGGAAAGCAAAGTTGGCACTATAAAATACCAAAGAATCGATCACCTAACGCAAGCGCTTGGTCGGAAATGGGACCGCAGAGCACAATTCGGGCAGCGTGTGACGGTTTCATTGGCCGTTTGAAGGCCGTAATTCGTGTCAAAGGTGACCAATTCGAACAAATTTAAACTTATTCTAAAATGTGATGAAAATTATGGCGTTTGACTTTGTTGCAGTTTTTTATCTCAGCCTGCATAACTTTATCCGTTTTCATGTATACTGTGCGCCAAATGGCCAATATCAGTCTAAGTGATCTGAATCTTGGCATATACGACCGAATTTGGTCTAGGACACAATATATCAAAATATCTATAGCTCCCATATATATATATATATATATGTATATATATATATATATATTTACATATATATATATATATATATATATATATATATATATATATATATATATATATATATATATATATATATATATATATATTTATATGTTTCATGCGTTTGTAGTTTAAGTCTCTCGCATGCGCAATATACATTCCACAAGAATAATAATTGGTATATATTTACATATATATATATATATATATATATATATATATATATATATATATATATATATATATATATATATATATATATATATATATATATATATATATATATATATATATATATATATATATATATTTATATGTTTCATGCGTTTTGTAGTTTAAGTCTCTCGCATGCGCAATATACATTCCACAAGAATAATAATTGGTACCAGATATCAGATACAGCCCAAAAATAATTCTGTCAAATTTGTTCGAAATCGGTTTAGATTTTTTATATAACTTCGTTATACATTACATACCGATTTAACGATTACTGTCCACCATATATATATATAATATCCGCCCAAATTGGATAGATTTTTTTATTTTGAACCAAATTTTTCCATTGCTCCAATAAATATTTATAGCCTCAGCCATATGGGTAGAGAGGATTTATATCATTTGATACCACGGCCAATCCTTCTGGTACCTCCCCCACAAAAAGTTGAAATTTTCAAAAAAAAAAAATATTTTGTGCACTGAAAGAGAAACGATAGTCCGATGACTTTGCAAATCCTAAAATTTGCCTCAGTTCTCGGTGAGGTGCAAAAATGGATAATATCAACCTACTACATCAAGTGCTTCCCCAAGACAGGGTAACATTTTTGAACTCTTATAAAATAACTCTTATAAAATGTGATGTAAGAATCCGATTTTCTTCAAATTTCAAACATCACAATATTTCCATAAATCTGGCGTTAAGATGGAATATATCGGAATAAGTCACAAAAGGTCGAAATTTTTGAATAACCATCTCTGAATATTCACATAAACTCAGGATCTGTTATAAAAACGGTAAAGATCTGATCATTCCTTCTGGTACCTCCCTAACTAAGGATCAGAATTGTGAATATTCGATCATAAAAGACAAAATAAGCATCAGGATCTCTTTATATTTTACACATCCCATTATTTCTAGTAACACAAGATCTGCTGTGAAGATGGGATATATCGGCCCACTCCTTCTGGTACCTCCTCCACAAAGGTACAAAAGTTTTAATATCCAAGAAGTTCGTAAAAATCGAAATTAAAATCCGATTCCATTCCATTCCAGACTTGGTATGGAATATTTCCATCAACACATCTACCTCAATCTACCTCACCCACAAAGGGTCATGATCTTCAATACTTTTATCTGTCAAAAACTTGCGAAACAAATCAGCTATTTTTTACAACTTCCTATATCTAACTAGATCTGTCTTAACCAGAAACCTCAGATGAATATGGATTTTATATATGAAGTAATTTTCGATTTTCTTGTAATTCTACCCATACCCATATTTTTGTATATAATAGATGAAGCATGCACATGTTAACATACAGGGTGAGAAAAAAAAGGTGCAACAAAGTCAAATATAAGTTTATATTTGTAAAAAAATGCCGTCACGCGCTGCCCGAATGTTGCTCTGTGGTATTTTGGCCCATTCTCGGCGAAGCGCTTGCTTGAGGTGATCGACACTTTGGTATGTTTTAGTGCCAATCTTGCTTTTCAAAATACTCCAGACACAATAGTCCAACGGATTGGTATCCGGAGATATTGGTGGCCATTGTGCGCTGGAAATGAATCGTAACCATTCTTGGGTGGCGCGAGCTAAGTGCGATTGTGCTGAGTTGTGTTAGAATGTCCAAGGTCTGCAGCCACAATCTTTGCGTGCCCAAGGCTTTAATGCACTCTCCAGAATATTTTCGCAATAATATTCGGCATTTATTCTGATGGCACGGTTGATTAATATAAGCGTAGAGCGACCATCGGCTGTTATGGCCGGCGTTTGAGTTCTGGTGGCCAACCGAAGGTGCACATTTTCAGCTCACCTCTTTGACAAGTAAACACGATCATTTTCTGGACAACGAATGTTTTCTCATCGGACAAAACCAAATTCGGCAGTTCACCACTTTCGGCCAAGCGAAGCAACCCTTTTGCTCTTTTGGATCTATTGTGTTGCGGTGTAAGTTCTTGCACATTTTTGAATTTCAATGGCTTTTACCCCGTGCTCATTTTTCAATATTCGCCGAATGGAATATTGCGATATGTTCAGCACACGAGCCATTTTTCGGCCACTGCGATGCGGGTTTCGATCAAGTCGCTTCTTTACTTTTCGAACCATATCTGCTGATGTTGATGTTTTCTTCAGTCCACTTCCTTGACGTCGGGCTACGCTACCAGTATCCCGGTAACGTGCGATGGTACGAGACACAAAAGATTTAATCACATTTAAATGCTGGTATGCTCTAACGATAGCCAGCCAGCCAGTGGTTCTCCAGCCAATTATATAAAAACCAAACGCTTGAATTCCATCACGAATAGCTTTTTGTCGGGTAAGTTCTCATCGAAATGATTTTGTCCGCTTGTAAACAATATAATGGAATAATTTTAACAGCTGTCGGGAGAGTTGCTTGGAAATGACAGCAGTCTGAAGTTGCAGTTTTTTCATCTCACCCTGTATAGTCCAAACCTGGCCCGTCGCAATATTTTTATCGTATTTATTTAGGTCCGATGATTCAATTTTTTTTTCTCAGCACATTATTGGCCTTTTCCTTCAGAACCCACTCTATACAGGGTCATAACAGAGGTCTAAACTTGCTTAAATAACCGAACATTGGCTGAGGGTATAAGTCTGCCGGTAGAACTGATTGATACTTCTTAATTGGTTTTTAATATTATTTGGTACTAGAGGTATAAATGTCTCAGTCAAATATGTTGAAAATCGATTTAGAGTTGGATATAGTTTCCTAATTATGACTACCTTAAAGCCATGATACGCATTGAAGAAAAGTTTATAGTTTTTTGATACGGGAGATATACCATATACGCATAGTGGTGTAGGCTGTCATATAGTCGCCCCCATCCGACTTTTGACCATTCTTTGCCGGTTTTGATTTAAATTCAATTTTTTAATTTGTTTTTCTAAGCTTTTCTCCCATATTTTGTTATCAAATTTTATGCTCTAATTACATTTGAAAAGAAAAACTTTTAATTGCCCTTCTACGGCCTTCTAAAAATTGTCTGTTTAAAAATTGTTTTTTTTTTTTTTTTTTTGGTTTCATTTACTCACCACTTAATTCTTTTCACCTCTGCAGAATTTCATTAATTTCCACTGGACAGCTGATGATTTCATACTGCGTTGTAATTTTTTAGGTCATGTCAAACTGTTTTCATGTGCCACGAAATTTTTTAAATCGTATTATTTCAGTTGTTATTTATTTGTTTAATTTATTTATTATTTTATTTAAGCTGCTTATTTCTTGCTTATGACACATTTGCAACAAATTCCACGAACAACCAAAAACTATTCATTGCTTAACAACCATTTTGTACTATTTGCATAGCAATTTTCCACAATTTTCCGGCATCACTTCAGGGGTCTTTTTTTGATGAAATTCGTTATGAATTTGTTTTTCACTTTTGCAAAATTTATTTAAATTTGATTTTCAACTGAAAAGAAAAACGAAAAAAAAACGGTAAATATTTAATTATAATTATTTGTTTCTTTTTTTTCCCATTTAATTATATAAATTTCTGTTGCCGGGTTAAGTCAACCTTAAAAGAGAGCTTTTTCCTTATTATTTACTTTCAGGATAGGGGTTTTAATGGTTTTCATTTTTGGTTTTTTTTTTTTGTTCAAATTTTGTTTTGCCAACCCTTTTGTTTCTGTGGAAACTGTAAATATTTATATACGTAGGTATGTTTAATAGGTTAGCATGGTTGGCCATTGTATCGACATTATGGCTATGAATGTGTGTGTGTGTGCGAGAGTTTGTGGTTAGTTTTACGATGCTCAAAGGACTTTTGTTGTTCAAAAGCAAAAACAAAATAAAAAAAAATTGCTTCACAATTCCAAGGATATTTTTAGCTACAATGCTGGCTGACTGGCCACCTTTTTATGATTGTAAGTTTTTGTTGTTGTTGTTGCTGCTGCCGCCTCTTGTTTTTGTTTGTGGTTTATTTTTAGGACTACATTTTACAATCTACTAATTACGGATTTACTTTTCTCTACTCTTTGTTTAATGGACATGGCTCTAGGCCATAAATCCAGCATAGGTCGTAATTTTGTTGTGTGTTTTTTGGAATCGTCACATAATTTTTTCGTAATATCACGTCACTTTACGCAGGTGGATTTCATTTTATGGACTATGAGTATAGATTAAATTTGTTACTCCACATCGGAAATTTTAATTGGCTTAGGACTTTAAATTAAAACAAGTTAAAAAGCTGTAAGTTCGGCCGGGTCGAACTTTGAATACCCTCCACCTCTTCTCAAAAAAAAAAAAAAAAAAAAAAAAAAAAAAAAAAAATCCGTTTAAAATTCTGTTAAAATCTTAAAAATAACGAATGTAGCTATTATATTATGGTCCATACGATGACATGAACCTACGTAGCTCATATTTGTCATAAGCCATTACAATATTCAAATTCGAAACTTAAAAAAATCGGTTATAATGTCGATAAAATCAAAATACCGAATATCGGGAGGTACCGTTATATAGAGGCTCTACGAAGACGTGGACCTGCACAGACAATTTTCGGTCGTAGGCTGTAATATCCATTACGAACTTCAACTGCCAAATTTGAAACAATTCTGGTGAAAAATGTCCCTAAAATCATTAAAATACCTAATATCGGGAGGTACCATTATATGGAGGCTCTACGAAGACGTGAACCTGCACAGACAATTTTCTGTTGTAGTATCTATTACGAACTTCAACTGACAAATTTGAAACAATTCCGGTGAATAAATTCGCTAATACTATCAAAATACCGAATATCGGGAGGTACTGTTATATGGGGGCTATACAAAGACGTATACCTGTACAGACAATTTTCTGTCGTAGGCTATAGTATCCATTACGAACTTCAACTGCCAAATTTGAAATAATTCTGGTGAATAAATTCGCAAATATCATCAAGATACCGAATATCGGGAGGTACCGTTATATGGGGGCTATACCAAAACGGGGACCTACATGGCCCATTTTCAATACCAAAAGTCCTGCAGACATAACTTACATTTGAGCAAAATTTTATCAGTCTACTTCGGAAGCTAGAGTGATTTCCACAGGACATTGATAAATCGACATAGAATCTTATGCTGATCAAGAATATATATACTTTGTGGGGTCTAAAATGTGTATTTCCTCCATACTATGGTGGAGGGTATAACAAGTTAAAAGGTATCAGTCGGTTCAGATGACAGATGTATACAACCAGCCAATGTTCGATTATTTAAATATATGTTGCCATCCGTTATGGTTATTTAAATTGTCGACCCTCTATGGAGTAGGTTCCGAAGTTATGGGCCAATATTAGAAAAATCACAGACTTGTTTTGCAGGTTATGACAGATATAGGCATTGAAAATTGTGTCCCTTTGTGGGTGAGGTACCACAAGGCGTTCGCAGATATATGCCATCTTCACTACAGATCTTGTGTTGTATGTCTAAAATTTTAAGAGAGTTGGATGCTTATTTCGCTTTTTTTAATGTTTAATTGTTTAAAATGTGGAGGTACCAGAAGAAATGGTCCGATCTACACCATCATCTAAATGGAATCGGATGTTAATTTCGCGTTTTATGAGCATAATGGATATTCAAAATTTCGACCTTTTGTTGGGGAGGTACTAGAAGTAGTGGACCGTTATATTCCATCTACACAGCAGACCTTAAGTTAATAAAAATATTGGGATGTGTGGAATTTGAAGACTATCGGACTTTTACATCACATTTTAAAAGTGTTATAATTATTCAAAATTTTACCTGCCCTAGCACTGATGCAAATATTTGGATTTGCAAGGTTGTAGCAAAATCAGATTATCGTTTCTCTTTCTGTGCAGAAAATATATTTTTTGAAATTTTCGACATTTTGTGGGGGTGGTACCAGAAGGACCGATATTGTCCATCTCCGAACTCGATCTAAGTTTGACACAAAAATATTACGATATACCAAGTTTGGACCAAATCGGATACTCCCTGCGAGAGTTATCGTGTGCACCAGACAGACAGAGAGACATCGCTAGATCGACTCCAAATATCCTGAAACGGATTTGGTCCATAGAGACTTAGGGTCTACGACCGTAATTTTATCTAAACACGTTTTGACCATATCAAATGATATATACCCTCTCGAGCCATATGGCTAAGGGTATAACAAGTAAAAAACAGCGGTTCGAAATTTTAATTCCCTCCACCCTTTGGGGCTATACGAAGACGTGGATCTGCATACGAAATTGTTTGCTATAGGTTATAGTATAGGTTATAGTACAAAGCTGATATACCCTCCATAGAATTTTGGAGAGTTAAAAAAAAAACAGTAAGGAAAGGTCACAAATCGGGCGGGCCGGCTTCATGATACCTTTTACCACTGTGCGTATTTAGTAGAGCTCACGTAACAAAAAAGCTTATATTGGGAATTTATGTGGAGTAGATCACACCAATTATAAACCAAATAACATTGCTTTATGACTTTGATACGGATTATATAAAACAACATTAATTGGAGCAATAGATATACCGGACCGACTATGACAAGTTTGATAAATTCGGTTGAAAATGCAAAAATCTATCAAACTTTATTTATTCAATTAACCGTCAAAGCGGATGTAGATGTTGTCGAAGTAATATAAAAATCTGAACCGATCTCGATAACAATTGGCACAGGTATATTCGAGCAGTACCTGGTGGCTCGTGGAGTACATATTACGCATGTAAGGGACCTTAACACAAAATCGGATAACACATATACAGAGTGAGATGAAAAATGAGCTCGTGGTATAACCACGAAAATAGACTCAAAAGAGCTAAGGAATTGCTTCGCTTGGCCGAAAGTGGTGAACTGTCGAATTCGGCGGTGAGAATTCGCCGATGACAAAAAAAATTCGTTGCCCAGCAGTTTGTAAACAAACAAAATGATCGTGTTTACTTGACAAAGAGGTCAAAAGAAAATGTGCCTCTTCGGTTGGCCACCAGAAAGAACTCAAGCGCCGGACATGCTGATGGTGTGGGCCATAACGCCATAACAGCCGATCGTATTAATCGACCTTGGCATCAGAATAAATGCCGAATATTATCGCGAAATATTCTGGAGGGTGTATTAAAGTTTTGGGCCCGCAAACACTTAGGACTCAGGACCATCGCACTCACAGCGCACAATAGCCACAAAAATCTCCGGAAATCAATCCGTTCGACTATTGTTTCTGGAGTATTTTGGTAAGCAGGTTGGCACTACAAAAGACCAAAGTGTCGATCACCTCAAGCAAGCGCTTCGCCGAGAATGGGCCAAAATACCGCAGAGCAACATTCGGGCAGCGTGTGACTGTTTCATAGGCCATATTTCGTCTCAAAGGTGACCAATTCGAATAAATCTAAAATTATTCTTAAATTTGATGCTATTTCCGATATTTTTTGCTTTCATTCAATAAAATTAAAAAAAAAATTATGGCGTTTGACTTTGTTGCAGATTTTTTATCTCACCCTGTAGTGTTTGGAAAATTACATTTAATGAAATGCGATCTTCTTTTTGTTCACAAAAATACATGGACAAACGGACTGACAGCCCTAAATCGACTCAGAAAGTGATTCTATGAAGATCCTCAAAAATAACTATGGGTCTATCTCGCTTCCTTCTCCATGTTACAAACAAATGCACAAACATAACACCCTTACCCTTACTGTGTGGTGTAGGGTAAAAATATACTAAAACGATAGACATTACCTAAAAAAGCGAATGCCTTTTTAACATATTAAGCAACAAACAATGAATTTTTTCCAAAAAAAAAAAAAAAAAAAAAAATATTCAAGGACTATTAAATACTTCTAAGAAATATTTTCTCAAAGATCAATGCCTAACAGATATTTTACCTGAATATTTTCTCGAACACCGTCAGTGAAATTTTCATAGACTTTTTTAAAGAATTAATTTTTTCCGATTCAACTAAGGAATAAACTGAGCAAAAACTGTGGTTTTGGAAAAAAAAGGAATGCATTTTTAAGGATTTCTAAATATGTGTTCAAGGATCAGCAGAGCAAAAATGGTGAACATTTTCTACGGAGTTTAGGTCAGGTGATTGTGCCGGCCATAACAAAACATGAATTTTTGACTCCCGCAACCAATATTTGACAAGTTTTGATACAAGTTTGGGATCATTGTCATGCTGAAACACCCAAATCAGCCGAATATTTTACTCAGCGTAAGGGAACAACGTGATGTCCAACACATCTTTGTAAACAAACCGATCCACAACTTCCTTCATTTTATGGATAGGCCCAAGTCCATAGAAAGAAAAACAGCGCCACGCCATTTTTGACCCTCCCTCATGCTTCACTGTACCTTTGCAACACTGCGGCTTGAGTCCTTCATTTTTTGGTCTTCTCACCGTAAAATTTTTCACATCTGAGCCTTTAATATTAAACGTAGACTCATCCCAGAAATAATTTTTTTTCC